TCATATCTTGCTTATTTTTGCTTTTGTTCACCAATTTTTAATCAAACCATGAAAATAAATGACTGCACTACGTTTGAATGAAACTGGACAAGGCACATACGAGAAAAGGTTGATATGTTGAAACAAATGTGCATTATGTCTTATTTTAGTACTACAAGCTACTTAGAAAGACACAAGAAAATATAACCAATATGGCAACCAGTCGGCCATTTTGAATAGAATCACAAAACAAACTGACAAGCATCATGTGTGACATAAAATATCCCCAGGTTGTTGTTCGAATTTTTTGATTTTAGTTTTCTTTTTTATGAACAAAAACAGCTGCCAGTCTATTAAATTTTCAAAATCCAAAAACATCTAAAAGGATCATGCGACCCATTATCTCTTTTGCCTTTGTACAAAATTTAAAAAAAGATCTGTGAAAGTTTACCTGAGAAATGGAAACTAAGCAAAATGGTCGTCAGTCAGCTATTTTGAATTAAATTAAGAAACAAAATGTGATCAAGTAACTCACCACAGGTGACATCAATACTAGTACTAGTATAAATGAGATACAAAATTTTGCCCCCCCCCCTGAATTAAATTTAGGCAATTTACAGTATTTATATACACATATGCAATATATTTTATTACTTATAATTTATGCATTGACATGATTTCAATTTGGGTCAAACAGAGAGATGGAATCCACAGACTGAATCTAGAATTAGACACCTTGAGACTACTGCATTTAGGTTAGCGATAGATTAAAAGAAAAAGATACTGTAAATGGTTAAAATCATCATGATTATTGTCAACAACATACATTTTACAAGTCACAAATTCTGTGAATTTCAAATGTCCAAGACCAGCAACCTACAAATTAGGCCAAACAAACAAAAGATTTGTTACCAGTCTTCAAAATAATGATTTGGTGATGAGCCTTTTAATTTTGTTTTATGTGAAATGCTTTTTTCTTGCATTTATGCAATGTTTACCGAAACAAAGGTGTGTTTTGTATAACCCTGCCTATCAATAATTTGGGTTAGAGTCAAACGTTTATTTTAAGCAAATTAGTAAAATTAGTAAAAAATATACAAATGTAAAAACTATTTTGTTAGCTCCTACACACATACACAATTACATACATTTTACACAGCAAAGGCATTGCCAATATTAATTTAATTTGAGTGACCACAAAAGGATTTGCTCTGTTTGAGGCAATCAACTTTAACAAGCCCAAACATAATCCTAGATGCATCGAGATGGGAACAGCCACTGGTGGCGCTGTATACAATCAAGACCTATTTCGGCTTGTAAAATGAAAAAGTAGTTTGGTGTCCCATTTAGTATGATAGAAAGTGTTTACAGTCTTCAAATAACTACAATAGACAGACTGGGGGTCAAGATCAAATATACATG